GTATGAATGCATGCACATATTTACTCTTTTACTTTAAGTGTAACACAGTAAAGTAGAAACAAATGAGGAGCACAAAGAGCACAGATTGTACTGTTTACAGCAGCTCCTGTCAGGGATGAAAGCAGCAGGCCTCCGTGAAGAAAAACACTACTTGTAATGTCCACGGTCCAGAGGACCAAGTTGGACAAACAACAATCTGAGTGTCTCAAAGCCCTGATCCTCAATCCACTCTGCAACAAAGGGGCATTGATAGTTTCTTATTTCCTATAACTGAAAGGAGTTCTCTAAAGTCTAGATTTTGCATTTTGGGATGAAGCCAAAGTGTGACAGTAGTTCAGAAAGAGGACACAGTTAAAGCTTGAACTTTTAAAACAGCTGCATCCGCATAAACTCTGCCCTTTACAAATGTCTGTATCCAGCATGGCCTCCATGCTTTCACAGTGATATCCATCAAATAAATCGCGGAGCCAGACTTTAACTGCAGTAAAAGTTTACGTTATGGACCGACTGCTCTTACTGGAATACGCTGACGTAATGTAATGTGTGGTCATTTGTGTCTCTGGACTGCAGCAGGCTCGGTTCATTAACTGCAAAAGATGTAATGAGCCAGGTATTATCAGGTCTGACCTGGTTCGGCCTCAGAACTGGTATTAAAAAAAAAGACACATACAAACATGCAGATTTAACAATACAGAAGTTTTACTCCACAACTCTAAGTGACTGCTGTACTGCTTCAAAAGAAGAAAACACTGCAGTTTTAAATACATATATCTCTGCAGAGGTAGGGTACTGGTGCTATTTTACCTTGAATGATGGAGTAAAAAATCAACACTAAGTGATGTAATATTCAACCTACTGCCTATAGAACAGCATCTCTGGACCTGGCAGGGATTTAGTTTTGCTCAGTGACACCAGAGTACAACAGATGTTTGCTGTCAGGGTATCTTAAATCCGGACCCCTCAGGTCTTTCTGGTCACTACACATGAGTGCTACCTGTTAATTCTAAAAGACAAGATGTGACTTTTAATTTTGTGAAAGATC